GATGCTAACAGAGGGCGTTAGCTACTCCTTCAATGTCAGACTGATCATGAGCTGGTAGATCAGAGCAGAAGGACTTTATTTATTTGGTTTATTAAAGACGATTCTGTTCTGGTGCGGGGTCAGTCCTACCAGGCTTGTAAAACATTGACCAATCCCAGTGTTTGGGTCTCTGCTAGCTGATGATGTCACCAGGTGAGTTTCGGGTGTTAGAGAGATGAACCTGAGGCCGCCTCCCCTCGTCAGGTTTCATCTTTAACACGGATTGGTTCTGGTTCTGGTGGAGGTTTTCTCCTCCACTGTCGCTACATGCATGCTCAGTGTCAGGGATTTTTTAGGATTATTCATTCCTAGTCATGTGTGCTTATTACTTCTTATCTGTTAATTGATTGAAGTTTATTGATCTCACATCTATATTGAACCCATCCCCTTGGAGAGCAGTGGGCTGCCACTGTGCGGCGCCCGGGGAGCAGTGGGCTGCCACTGTGCGGCGCCCGGGGAGCACAGGTGCTTCCCAGATTGATAAAGCAGAATGTGTGTGTGGTCCCGAGGCGTAGAGGCAGCAGGAAGGAGGTCAGGGTTTGGACAGGTAAGCATCCACCTGATGATAGGATGCAGGAAATGACCTCGTTAAGGGCGGTTTTTGGAGCCATGGCGTGCTGACGACTGAAAGCCCACAGCTGTGCCGACTCTTTTCTCTGTTCTGAGCTGATCTAATCTGAAAAATTCTACCAAACTTTTTATTCCTGATTTTTGTCTTTTTTCACAGATTATTTTAAGCCTGAAGTTAAAAATTATTAAACTGGTCCAGGAAAAGCTGGGAGGGTTAGACGCCATCAGGGGGCGCTAGCTTCCCTAATTGCTGAAGAGTCAACGGGCCTCATGCAGCAACAGGTTCATAATGTCCTGAATCAGATTCAACAAACCTTCCTAACTTCACTACATGATCCTCACAGATCCTCATAAACCAGATGCAGTCCGCCTGACAGCGCGCCACATAATGACCACCCCCATATAAGGCTGCCACTTCCTGTTTGTTCAGAAAGAAGAAGAACTTTAGAGATGGAGGATCTGCTAACTGAGAGCTGAGCAGCAGAATGAATCCAGAATTGTAGAGCTACAGAATATAGAATGATGCAGCCTGATAAAATGGATGAGTGCTTCTAAGGTCATTTAGGGAGAAACTAGCAGCTGACTGATGGATCTAGACTCCTGGAGGAGAACGAGTTCCAGCCTGAGAGACGATCAGAGACAGGAGGAAGATGGAGGATGAGGAGTTTGATCCGGAATCACTCTGAGGAACCAATTCAGGATGAATTTAGTTCATAGAAGCGGTTCTAGTATGAGACCCAACATCTCTACCTGATCATCCTGTAATTAATCTCCTCAATCAGCTGGTTATAAGCTGTTATGTAAAGGAGACGGACGATGGTGTTTGGTCTGATGAGGCCTGATGGTGACCGCCGGCCGACACATAACTGCACTAAATCTGAGAATTTGAAGAAATTAAATTGCGTTCTGGAGCTCAGAGGAGAAAAATGACACTTTCTAAGGATCTACCTGAAGGCTGTGATGTTAGCAAGCCGGGAAACGTTTTTGAAGCTTTACATTTAATTAGTAAAGTGAGAAATATGAGGCTGAATGGATTCTGTTTCCGATTAATATTACTGCTCTGATCTCATCGACGGCGTCACTAAAGCAAAGAGAAAAACAGCGCTGATAAACGAGCGCACTCTGATCCATCCACTTTAATTCAATTCAGTTTATTTATAACAACAAATAAAAACTCAGCTCAGGTTGTAGATCCAGATCAACCAGATCATCCAGTCACTGATTTTACAAGATTCTCTCCTTACAGAAAACTGGCTCCACGGGCAGCTCTGTGATCTGAGACACTTTTCATCTCATCATAATAATAATAATAACTTTTATTAATTGAAAACCTTTCAGAGATAAAATCACAAGGCGCTTCACCACAGACAACAAATTATAGTAAATATTTATAATATATATAAATGTATATTAAACTGCGTTTTGTGGTTTTCCTGATGGTAAAGAATGACAGTAATCCGCGATATTTTCTCTCCAGTTTCCTAGCATTTTGCTTCAAAGTACGCAGCTCTGCATTAAACCAAGGAGCCAGCTTTCTATTTTTAACGGTTTTCATTTTCAAAGGAGCTGCGTTGTCTAAGGCAGTACGCAGAGAACTAGCAACCCCATCAACAAAATCATCAACCTGTGAAGGGGAATAAGCTAAGCTTTAGCACTCTGCAGCACTGCTGGGACTTATTGTGTAAAACTTTGGTTTATGAAAATATTTGGATTGACAATAATTATCACTTTAAAAGCAGCAGCTATTTAAACCCGCTGCAGTGATGATCCTCTCAGGTTTTACTTAGAAGGAGGGTCTGAACTGAACCGAATCCAGAGCTCCTGTTAGCCTGTCGGCCTGAGGCCGGCGTCTAGAGCAGCTGCTCCTCGTCTAATCACTTCTCTGAACGCCTTTGAGTGTTGGTGCTGACTGTCGCCTCGGCGAGAGCAAACCCAGAGTAACTGGACGTCTCCAACTGGGCCAGCTTTGGAGGGGAGGGGTCCTGCAGGATGTTAGCTTTAGCTGGACCACAGGAGGCTTTTTATAGTGGCCTTAACCGCGGGCCTCAGCTTCCCAGTGACCCAGCATCTGTTTCCCCACAGCAGGAAGCTCAGTCAAGCAGAACCAATGTTGATCCAGCTCACAAGAATCACAGAGGGAGCATTTAAAGGAGAACAACAATGACGTTTCCATGGATACTGAGCTGGGCTGAATGTATAGTTGGACTTTTTAGTGACGGCAGCAGTTAGTGTGTTTTCTCATTTAACTCAATAAGAGACAGAGGGAGAGGAAACAGGAAATGAGTGAGAGCTGAGCAAAGAAACTAAATAAACTTGTTGTACACAACATCCATCTGAACACATCTGGTGAGGAAATTAGACTTGGCTTTGATTGAGCCTGAGAAGACCAACTAACGACTCGTTTTTCTCACTTTACGTCGGATTTAAAAGCATTTAGAGCAGCAGAAGGTAGAGAAATATTAGCAAATATATGGTAGAGGGAAACTTTTATTAACTCCCCCTCCTGCAACAATAATCACACTATGCCTGATTCATCAGAAAAACAGTTTAATCATTTCAGACAAAGTTGATTTTCTATTCAGTTTATTTCTATAACTCCAATTCACATCATGTCATCTCAGGTCACTCTATAGATCCAGATCAACCAGATCGATTTAAAGTTTCTATCTTCAGCAATCCCTCACACTAAGCATGCTTGTAGTGACAGTGGAGAGGAAAAACTCCACAGAACCGGTTATCAAAAATAATGCCTGAAGTTCAGTGCAACAGTCTGAGTTTAAAGTGATAGAAAAGGTAATAAAGAGGAATAATAATGAATATCCTCTCTGTGAGAAGATGGATGGGTCCCACCTGGAGGGGTTAACCAAGGCTGATGGAGGACGTCCAGAAAGGCTTCAGCTCTGCACAGCTGAGGACATGCTCAGTTAGCTGAGCAGCTAACACTGAACCTTTGAATGCTCAAACCAAACGCAGGGAACTTATGGACCTTTAGGACAACATGAATGTCAACTCTGGTTCTACCTGCACCTGTGGGCGGGGAATCTGGACCCAGTCCACCTGGATACAAGCAGCTGGACTGAGCCTCCTCTGAAGAAGCTCGGTCATCAGGGACCAAAGATCATCAGGAGTAGAGCCACGGCTCCTCCACATCCAGAGGAGTCAGCTGAGGAGACTTTAGTTCATAAACTCATCATCTCCTCTGCATAAAGGAAATCCTCCAGATATTTTACAGCTCGCCTGCCGCCTTTAGAGGAAATGAATGTTGACTTACCTTCAGCTCTATTAAGAGGCCCTAGATGGGGACGCCAACCCCCCACCCCTCAGTTTGTTTTCTTAATTCAACCTTTATTGGCTACAATTTTAAAAACTCACAAAATGCAAATAGGAACAAATACCATTAAAATAGGTAATATGCTGATGACGTGTTTCTATGCATCTAGAACTGAAAATCTCTGCCAACCTGGTCTTTAAATTACTGTAGGTTAAATTAGCAGACTAACAGCTGCTGTGAGTGTTTAACTTTTTAACATGGAATAGAAAGAGGGAAACTAATTTAGAGGATGTATGTGATGGGGAAGGTTTTTACTTTCTGTGGTGTCTAGTAGACTAATATCTAACCAAAACTGACATTGAACATTTACATCTGACTACAGTCCCGCTTCAGAATCCAGATTCTGGCCAATAATGAAATGTATCATCAGCCCTGCCCAAAGTCTGATGTGGCATTTCCCCATTTTTGATGTTAGGGGATGGGTTTAAAGGTATTATGTGAATAAACTCTAGGCTATGGTCAGGGTTAGGGTTAAACTCAGGGTTAAACTCAGGATACATCTCAGGGTAAAGATCAGGGTAAATCTCAGGGTTAATCTCAGGGTAAAGATCAGGGTAAATCTCAGGGTTAATCTCAGGGTAAAGATCAGGGTAAATCTCAGGGTTA